TACAGTGCAGTTACAGTCGATTTGTGCCTTAGTTACATTTGTAACTTTAGTACTTCTATACTGTAACTTTAGTTCATTGCATACCTGATTGTGCCATTTTTGTTCTTCTTTTTATATTTTCTAGGTTTTGCAAGTTCATATCCTTCTTGGTTTGCCCATCTGATTTTATTCCTGCAAAATATGGTTCAAATCATTGCAAAAAATGTCCATTCAAAATCATCCTTTTAGTTCAGTTACATGGCAACTTGACTGCAAGTTACTTTTGTATTTATCTCTATAAACTCTACTCTGAAATTTTTCTTGTTGGGGGCTACAAGTGTTTAGTTCCTACTGATTCTTTTGTTTGAGTTTTTATGCTAGGTTGATTTTTGAAGGGGTTACTAAAATGTGATATGTAAAGTATAAACTTAATCTTGTCAAATTCAGAGTGCTACTAGTGTGGTTGGATACATCCCCTGGAGATTGAACTAGTGGATACTGTACCTGATTGCTCTTTCTTCATAGTTTCCTTGTTCTGCCAATTGGTATTCTTCAAACTTTCACGTTCAGATACTAGTCCTGCAAAATGTGTTGGAAAAACATTAGAAAGCATGTAAGCCTGGTAGCATCATACAAAAAATTATAAGTGTAGATGTAGGCCCTTTTTTTTCTAGTTGTTGTCTCCACTTACACCACTTACAGTGCAATCATTCACTAATTACAATGCAGTTACAGTCGATTTGTGCCTTAGTTACATTTGTAACTTTGGTACTGCTATACTGTAACTTTAGTTCATTGCATACCTGATTGTGCCATTTTTGTTCTTCTTTTTATATTTTCCAGGTACTGTGCTATCAGTTCAAAAACATGAGGCTGAATGTTCAAGTGTTCCAGGTACTGTGCTATCAGTTCAAAAACATGAGGTTGATTATTGGAGCTATGACATTTAGCATATATGGTTTTTCTAAATTCATAAGTATGTGTCTTGTGTGTTTGTACAGCATATATGCTTTTGTATGATTGATTTGTTGCCCAAACTTACATACTCACTACTGCATTATCTAAAGAAATTCGCTGTTCTATTGTGTTTTCTCCAAGATTTTGAGATCTGAGTTGTTCTTGTTGATTTTGAAGGTTAATTATGGCAGAAATCAGTACCAAAAAGCTATAGAGGGAGTTGAGGTAGGTATATATTTACCTGGTAGATTGGTTTTGGTTGAATTCAACCTGTTGATCTCCATCTTCTCGGTGATAATCTGCTTGTTTTTCTTTTTCTCTTTCTCGTCGCTGTCCATGGCGTGCTTGATTTGGTTGGGATCGATCTGGGGATGCGTTGACCTGTGCATGATCTGTCTTTTTTTTTTTGGTGAGCTTTCTTGGATGCCAAGTCCATCGTAATGGGTTGGACTGTACTTGGACTGCTAAAAGTTGCTTTTTCTGCCAAAAGTGATTTCTTCATATTGGGCTGACAACTTTTAGTTTTGGGCTTTGTTCTTATTTTTTCTATTTTGATTGGGTTTTTTATTTTTATTTTGGGCTAGTTTTTTATATATGTGTTGTTTTGTTGTTTTGGATTCTGGCCCAGTGAGAAAAGTTCATTTTTCCTGCATGTTTTTTTGTCCCTTAGATGGTGATCCAAGGGTGGCCAAAATCTGGGTGATTTTGACCCAAAAATCTGTCGACAAATAGGTAGCTAGTCCCTCTCTCGGAAATCATGGGAGCCTGCAGCTAAAGATCGAAGGGATGCAACTGGAAGGTCATGAAGCATGATGTCATTTCGCTTATGTGTAACCATCGTCACTGATTTGCGCCACCAGTCAAGTAGTCAACACCACTCTTTAGGCCATCTGCAACACGAGCCAAGCCTGCCTTTCCCTTAACCGTCTCTTGACCTGGTGGTGATAAGAGTAAATCTAATAATATAATCTACCAATATCTTCGATTTCTTTTTCAAATCACCTACAATCAACTCAAGAGATAACTGATACAATAGATAGGCTCTTCTAACTTAATTTAATCTATGTGAGGTTCCACATTTGTATCTTTTTAAGTTGGCAGCTGCACTGCATCTATCTTGAAGCCCTTCCAGAGCCAGCTGTAGATTAGGGCAAGTATAATAAGGGCTAATCAGCCTTCTATTAGCCCATACATGTCATCACAATCTGAGCTGGATGAGATACAAAGGAAGAGAGAGAATGAAGCGGGCGCTCATGCAATCGGCGGCCCGGCCGAGCAACAAGATGCATAAAGCAAACATGGAGCCTGTATACCAGCCGATACTGTCCATAGACCACACGTTTTGTGGGCCTTTTGCATCCCGTGTGCGATCTTTCTCGTCCCTATAAAAAAATGCTAGGGTTTAGCGGTAAATCCCCCACTGTGGGGGAAAAAAATCACATATTACATATCAAATCAGATCCTCAAAGCACAAAATCCTCTTGTTCTTACTCCAAATACCTTCTCCCAATACCAATCAGCCAACACAATCTTGTTATACCATGGGTCGATCGAAACAGGAAGTTGCCCGGCCCGCCGCCTCAAGCTTTGCCAGCATCCTACGCGTCTGGCATGTGGTTGGCTACTCCGCCGATGCAGGCCTCCTTTGCCCTTGGTGGCTGCCAAGGTACGGCGGTTGCATTTGATTGTACTGACATGGCTAAGTTAATAGCTCACTTTATACTTCCTTTCCTTTTCTATTTCTTCCACATTTGATTGTACTGGTATAGCTAGGCTAATAGCTACTTCCTCCGTCCCACAAAACATGACGCTTTAAGGTTTCAAAAGCAAATTAGCTGGAAGGAAAAATAACCAAGTTGCCCTCACTTAATAATAATCAGATGTCATTTCATTGAGTGCAGGGCATTCAGTAGGAATACTTATATATCTCTGCACACTGAAGCTATGACCACAAAAATACACGTGGCAAAGCAATCATGAGCACATTCAAAAATTCAAAACAGATGGCCATTAAATTGCTCAAACGACATGTTTTATGGGACATTGGTAGAACCTTTAAACGTCCGGTTTTATGGGACGGAGGTAGTAGCTAACAAACGTGATCTATTATACCTGCTCCATTATAGTAATTTTCATCTCTACAATGGTAAAGGCTAGCTAAACTATCTTTATATTCAACGAAAGTAAAAAAAAATGCCAATGACATTATAAAAGTACTACCTTCATTTTAAAATATAACAACTTATGTTATAAGCTTAGTAGCTATATTTGAGATGGAGGTTAGTATGTAGGAAAACTGATTCGGTCTAATTGGTAGGGTCAAGTTGAGTCCTCACCAGGAAAGGAGAATTTTAGAAGAAATTTTGCAGGAACAAAACTTAGTTCTGGTATAAGGTTTTTTGGATGCTGTACTAATATTGTCATCATTTATCATACTTTTTTGCCACATTTTACCTTAGTTGTGGTCAATAAAAAAATAAGTCACACTTTAGCTAGAAAAAAAGATGTGCCACACTTTTTTGAGTTGATGACATGTGGGACCATGAGAAATAAGAGAATCTTGCCACAAGTGTAATCATAAACCAAACAATGAGTTGATTTGATCAAACTTGTCTAAAATATGAGATATGGTAATTTTTGACAAGTTAGGGAGTGAACCCTCCTTCGTTCTAACTGGATGTAGAAGAACGAGAGTTTCCTTTCCCCCATGATATATTCTAAGGGATGGATACATACATCCACTACTAAAACAGAAAAGTTTAGACTGTGTTTTTCATTTTATAAAACATATCACCAGAGTGATCCGGCTTTTTTTAGAAAGCCCAACAAAGTTTAGGCTGTGTTTAATTGTGCTTTGGGCGTTAATCTCTAAAGTTTGTTTTGAATTTAATCTTAGAATTAATTTTAGTGGTTCTATTCTTCACTTTTATCGTCTAGCTCCATTTTGGTGATAGGCTGATAGCCAACAACATAGGTGAATATCTACTTAAAATTTTTCGTAAAAATCAAACTTTAAAATTGCCCTGAATCAATATATAATCCAAAACTACAACTAACCCAGCAGGCCAGCACAACCTTGCAGATGACAACATTGTTCATGCCGTTATGGGCTAATGTGCCTTTTGCCTTTCTTGGCAATGACTAGTCTTTTGGACCCAGTGTGCCACATCAATGTGTCCTAGAGGAAGTTTAATAGTATAGCTAACTATTAGCTACAAATCCTCTATAACTATGTGTCGAGATTTATAGCTAAAAATTATTATATTTTGGGACGGAGGTAGTAATTTGATAGCTCATTCATACAATAGTTACCTATAAATATATACTAAATAATTAATATATGGTCTCATATCTTATACACACATAATATTTTGAAGTCCATACACATAATATTTTAAAGTCCATGCTATAGCTGACTACAAATCTGTAGCCCGCTTTTCTTCTCTCTTTTCTTTTTATCTTCTTCACATGTGTATATAGTTTATTTGTAGTATGTTATTGTACTAGCTCCTAGAGGTGGTGTGCAGCTGATGTCTGAGCTGGCATTGTTATCTATTATGGTCTGGGCCCCGGGTGGGCCTTCTTTGTTGATAGTGGATTTGATCAGTTGGCTGTCACTCCATCTGGCAACGTTTTCTGAGTGGAAATACTAGTCTAACCTTGAAAGCGGTGATGCGTTGTCTCAAATATTTGTTGGATTTTTCTCTTTTATAAAATGTTGTACAATATTAGTAGATTCATTGACCATCGTTACAAGCGCTTTCAATTACACAGATTCAACCCCTTATATATATTTTTGGATAATCAACTCCTTTTTTATAGAATTGTTATTATATTATAATAATATATAATAAATTGATCACTTTGTTTGGATTAAAAAAAAGGATGAAGAAAAGATGACGGGCCAGGAGTAGGCTCTCCAAATTCCAACCAATCTGACTACAATATCCGATTTGCAATTTTTTAGACGAAATATATCTGATTTACGGATTATCTGAATATCCCCACACGCCATAAACAGGGTATTCCGTAGCCCAGGTCTATGAATTCTATATCCACATTTGGATGGGAATCATACAAATACATATTCTGATCCAATTGATTGACATAGGAGTATCAACAATCAATCCATACTTAATCCATGAGAGATGCGAAAAGTCCAAGGCTTAATTAGTAGGCCTAAACTCTGACGACCTAAAAAACACTTCTTCCAAAACATAAACACATCACAAGCCCAAAACATGGTCGACACAATAGCAAACTGAAGGGCAAGCTCCATACAGGTAGGTCACATTCCATGGCTTCCATGCAGTTTTTTTATGAGTACAACACATTACACATCTACAGAACAGAGCTAACCTAGCCAGGTACCTAATGCTCCTAATGCTCGCCCTCCCTTCCAAACACAAACATTGAAATGGCTTCTTTCCTGAGGTCTGCAGTCACAACCAGAAAGCTTTGCAAACAGCATTGGTGTAACATGGGTTGGAGGCTCTCATCCTTCTTTTCAACACGTCAGGATCATCAAATGCGGTACAGTTTACAGCTTCAGCTCATGCATTCCTGGCCACAATTGTTTTCGGTTGCAGCTCCAAGTCAAGAGGGAAGCCCACAAATAATGGCTCAGTCACATCTAGAACAATAAATGGAGTTCACTGATTATATGTGATCATTCCTCACCTGGAGTTAATCTCCTCTGTTGCATCAGTTACTCCAACTTCCTCATTAGTTATGACATCTACAACAGGCTCATACAAGTACCATTCCTTCCTTTTCCTGTTACAGAGGAAATACAAGAGCAACTTAAGTTAAGACCAAATAGTAGTAATCATGATAAATGATACTCCACAATTAAACAATGGATAAAGCTGCGAAAATTCTTTGCCTTCGTCGCTTATTGATGGGGAACAATGGATCTGATCCCTCATACAGGCGAACATATAAGCATTAATTAACATATCAAAAGCTTCTGTAACAGCAGAGCTTACCGAACGACACTCCCTTTGCTGCCAAAATACTTGAATAGATCTAGTGAATTGTTCATGGCTTTACTGCAAAAACATGGTCACAGAAATTTGAAATATACCAAAAAGGATAGAGTGTAGCTTGAATATTCATTTGTCGCACAGTTCCATTGAAACTTAAATAACACTAGACACTTGCACAGACCTATTTGAAGCAAATTCTGGTGCTCGCCTCCCCTTCTTTGAAACTCTAGCTGCTTCCCTCATAGCAGAAACACTTTGACTAGCAATCTGCAAAGACAAATATTACTGTTTTTTTCGTATCAACAACGATCTTACCGAATAAGAGGGTAACCATAAACGTGTAAAGCAATTACAGCCAATTTTTTGCAAACTCAAATAGCAAGGGCAGTATAGCTAACCTCATAAAGCTGCTCGCGGATGGAGACAGCTATTGCAGGCTGCACATCAATCACAATACTTTGTCAATCCAAAACAAAGTTGCAGAAATAATAAAATTATGTGTTTACAGGAAAACATCACCAGCAAGAAACTATGCAAAGAATCACAAGCACTCAAAGCTTTGCCACTTCAAAATCCAATGGAATATAATGGCACTACAAGATTTTACCATACTTACAAAAGTCGAATAGTAGAGTTGGGTCCAATAGCAGCAATAATTGAAAGAGCTCTTTTGTCATTAGTTGCAAGTAGGTTTAAACAAGAGTTTCAAGTTAATAGCACATAAAACTATAGGTTGATGGCATATACACCGAGCCAAAATTACCACTAAAAGACAAGTGTGCAACATAACCCCAATGATTCAAAATGAAGAGGACAGGCCAACATGAGGTTTTTCTTTCACATACATGCTCGGTAGGACACGGTCATTCCCTCATTCAAACTCAGTTACAAATTAGTTTTTTTAAAAAAAAATTATCCAAGTGACAAGGAACCAACCTTCTCAGACATGATACTTCAAATGAATAAACTGTGTCAAAAAGGAAAACATAATTCATCAGGAATTCAGAATTTCAAAGCATACCCCAACTTCAGGATCTGTAATGTTCAAATCGTCACATAGCGTCCTTGCAAATTCCTCAGGATCACTATCCAGGTTGCCTATATCCTGCAATTCAAAAATTGGCGTGAAGACAGAAAGTTAAGTAAACAACATATTCGAACAACTCGATAATGGAAAATCTTCCAAATAAACACAAGAATCCTGAAATGTACAGATGCACACTTACCCACAAGAACTGATCTCTGATTACAGTATTGTTTATCCGGAGGTCAATCTGCACATTCATCACCACTCCAATTCATATGGTTGAAACAAAAGGTACAAAAGACAATCTGCGGTTAGCAAGAGAAGGCAAACCTTGAGGGGCACAATCTTCTCCCTGATCTGCATCTCCTCTCCCTCGTAGGAACGGAACTCGGTCAGTTGCCCCTGTTAGAAACACACAAAGAACACATATGAATACAATCTTGCAAGATTTGCAGGACACCCTGTATGAAACATTCATCTTAGGATGGAATCCAAAGGGGGGCACCTGGATGGAGTGGAGCATCTGGGGGACGAAGTTGGCCGGCAGCTTGAGGTCCTTGGCCGTCCTCTTCGCGAAGCTTATGATCTCCGAGTCGGGGTCTGCACCAGCGCAACAGAGGAAGAGGAAGATTTGGATCGGAGCAGACGAGGCAGCAAGCAACCAACCCAGAGGAGGAGGAGGAGGAGGAGGCGATACCGCATGGGTTCCAGGTGAAGGCGTCCCTGTAGCGCTGGCCGTCCACCTCGACGTCGACGCGTATCGGCACCAGGTTATCCCTCGTCGGCCTGCGGCGCGGCCGCGCAGGCGGCGGAGGTCAGGAGGTGGAGATGCAGAAGCAACGCTGCCGAGAGAGGGGCAGGGGAGAGGGGGAGACGACGTACATGCGGAACTTGACAGACGAAGGCCTGGCGGCGCCGAGGCTCACCGTCTTCATCTCCCTCGCCGGGCGGCGGCCGGTTCGTCGTCGGTCAGGGCGGGCGGCGTCGCCGGCGACGTGGCTGCTCGGATTCCTTTTTTTTTTCTTTTCTTCTTTTTTTTTTCTGAGATGAGGGCTTCCTAAAGCGTGAAGGGCTGAGGCCCATTCACTGGAGGCCCCAAAATAAAAAGCCCATCATGGCCCAAAATCCGAGACCTAAGCCCATTAGAGCCCAAATGACATCCATCATCACGGCGCGAACTCCGGCGTTCCGGCCGCCACCGCCGCCCGCGTGTAGCAGCAGCGGCAGCTCGTTGCCCTAGCTAGCTAGTGCCCGCGCCACGCGACTCCTCGCCGGCTAATTTTCTCCTTCTCCTCCTTGGTAACACGGGAAGGCGAGGGGAAGATGGGGAGCAAATCGAGCAAGGACACGGACGACGATCACGAGCCCAAGCAGCAGGAAAAGAAGCTTCCGGAACACCTTGAGGTCCAGCGCACGCGTGTTGTCTGCAAGGCCGACGCCCCCGTTAATGTATCTCTCATTCCAACTCTTTCTATCTTTGTTTGTTAAATTCGATCCTTCAGAGATCATGTGTTCAGAAATTCTGATAAGTTGTTCTTGTGAAGGAGCCTAAGCATTAGTATTTTTTTTCTACTACCGTACTGCACCTAATGGGTTAATTTTAAGATTATTAGATAGAATGGGTATTATTTCATGATTTTTTTTAATACTCTGTTTGAAAGGAAACATTCTGTTTATTGCAATTTCAGTGTGTGTACAATAGGCCTAATCTATTGTTTTATATGTTTAAAGACTGAAGGTTTTCAATACGCTGGTGCTTATTCTGCTATGGGAATTGATAATAGCGTGTCAGCGGAGAAATTTTGCAAAAACTTCAAAGTTGAGATAAGTCGACTTACGGAAGATGATATGGAGTTTGATATGATTGGTATTGATGCATCAATAGCTAATGCTTTTCGGAGAATCCTTATAGCAGAGGTTTGCGCATGTTATCATCTGTGCCATCTTAGAAGCTATTTGCTGTATTCTAAATTTGTAAATGTGTCATATATTTGGGGGTTCTGTTTCAATACATGTACTTCATTGTCTCAAATTTTCAGCTTCCTACAATGGCAATCGAGAAAGTATTAATGGTTGACAACACCTCAGTTATAGCAGATGAAGTTCTATCACATAGGCTTGGCCTTATTCCACTTGATGCAGATCCTAGGCATTTTGAATATATGTCAGGTCAGTAACATAATTTATTGTAATTCATATTCATAAATTGGTTGTTATACACGAATAATAGCTGCCCTATTCCTCTGTTGTATTTTGTAGAAAATGATGTCCCAAATGAAAGAAACACTATTGTGTACAAACTCCATGTTTCATGTAAAAAGGGTTCCCCGCGGCTTACAGGTATATATTACTTCCCTGCAACCTAGACTCTTTTACAGTTTCCAACTTACTAAGTCGACCATACGGATTTTTGCCCCTCTGATGTGTATCTGCTCCAATTTACTCTTCTGAGCCATTTTTATTCATTGCTTTTCAAAACTAAATGTCATATTTTTGGCTTTTTCTCATTGTTACTAAATAAGTAAGGTAGTACCATCATGTTTACAAATTTGTCTTGAATTACATAATATGCTTCTCATTTGATGGGAAATCCCTACACATGCAAGTTGCAATCGGATAAATTAATATCAATAACCTTATTTGATCCTGTTAGTAAACCTTCAAAGAGTCCTATCTTATAAATGAAGTATCCATTTTGTTCTCTGGTTGAAACATCACACTATATGCTATGAAGCTTATAGACAACTAAATCATTTAAACTACTTTGATGCCACATCAATCAGACTTTCCACCAGTCTAATCAGTCATCTAACAAATTACTTTGGTAAAGCCAACAATGTATGCCAATGATAAATTAAGTATTTGTTATTATTTCTCTTGTTGTACTTCTATATAATTGTGAGCAGCACAAGCCTGTATTGTATTTCGTAGAATGTTGATTGATATCTTCTACCGTATCAAGTTTTCACATAGTTTTTTATGCACAGTGAAGTCTGGTGATTTAGAGTGGTTGCCAGAAGGCAGCCGACTACCTTTGGCATCTCCTGCTCAATCTAGGTACAAACAAAAGACCTACACTTCCTTCAGTCAAAGCCAGAAGGATATCTTAGAAAAGCCTCTTGGTGTGAAATTTAAAGATATAACTATTGCAAGGCTTGGGCCAGGCCAGGTAAATTTGTTACTGTGGTTATTTTCCATGATAGTATTATGACAGGAGTACCTGGTAGCTATATATTCTCTATTGTTTTAGATTTACTATTTGGACTAAGGTGCTTTATTGAGTCCACATGATAGAGAGAAGACTTCAATCCAGTCAATTCATGGAGTCTTGTTATATGTAGCTATATATGAATCCTTTTTTTGGCTTAATTACTCACCAAGCCTAAGTTCATGTGCGTGCTGATACAAACTTTTCTAAAGACACTTTCTTATGGAGACCTGCTACTTTGAAATTGTTTTACTTATATTTTGTGGGGGTGATTCTTTGCAAACTAATGTACCTTCTAATATAGATCAGCTATGTTTTAGGCTATTGTACTCGAGGTGCATGGTGTTAAGGGAATGGGGAAGTGCATGCCAAGTGGTCTCCAGTTGCTACAGCATGGTACAGAATGTTCCCCGAGGTAAATTCTTTCGTGGGAATTTCTAGTAAGAAAATCGTGAGTTGCCATGTTTTGCTTTTGCCTTCATGTATTAGTGTTCTATTATAACATAGGTTGTTTTCCGTAAAGAAATCAAAGGTGATAACGCAGAGAAGCTAGTGAAAAAGTGCCCGGTCAATGTTTTTGATATTGAAGACCTGGGAAACGGTAACTTCTGTTTCCATTAGTTGTTTACTTATTTTACTGTTGTTATACTAAGTAAGGGAGTTATTGTCAATCCTAATTGTTGTTGCACTTATTTCTTTACTATGGTATAAAAGCGGACTCATCCTCCTCCCCCACCATTGTACTTACCCCATCACGTAAGGGAAAAAAAACCTAAAAACCATCCCACCCAAGAAGCAGTGTTTTCACGAGAAAATCAACCCACTAGAAAAACCAAATAGATAAAATTGAACCCCATAAAACCATTCATCTGTATCCCTCCCAATCTGCACGAGCATAGCACTAGTTACTATAGAAGTGAGAAAAAGTGGGTGTGTTGTTTGTAACATATATATGAGTATATCTCTTGCTTTTATAGTATTCTTTTCCCAGTGCGATTGAAATGCAGGTGCTCATAGGAGGATAAGGGGATAATGGGATTTTTTTTCATAATAATAAAACACAAATCACCTTGTCTATTGTGACGATTTGCTATACGCTTATCACTTCATATTGTCATCTATTTCCTGACTTTTCTATACTTGTGGTCACTTTAATGTGTTTGATGGACACTTTATTAAGGAATTCTACTCATAATACCAGTTGTTACTGCAACATGATAAACACATTTTATTTATGTAAACATGTTTCAAATATGCACGTTAAGAGCGTATGATAAATGTAACAAGCTCTTACCTAAATGAACACCTTGTAGACCCTCAATTCCTAAAATTTTCTTAAGCAATATGATGTAGGTTTTTAGGCCTGCTCTTTCGAAATAACCCTTCAGTAGAAGTGAATATAATTGGCAGTATTCTGAGTTTTAAATCGTTCAAACAATAAAAGCAAGGAAACAAACATCATGTCCAAAGAAAATTCATAGGATTATGTGTTCTGAACTTTTTACGAAACTGCCAAAATTGAGGGTACTAAGCACTAAAAAGATCAAAAACCGTAGGTAACATAATATGGTTTTAGCCTTCAAACTCATATAATTCAAGCTATGGTCGCCGCCTTTACTTCAATATCACCCCCTATCTTTCCATACGCAGGGGAAAAGAGAGCAGTTGTTGCTAGGCCAAGAGCATGCACCCTTTGTAGGGAATGTGTTATGGGACCTAGCGGGGAACAAGTAGAACTACGGCGCGTCAGAAGTAGTGGACAAACCTAATTATTTGTTATTATACTACTCCTTTCTTGAATTTGACACCTGTACAATTTGTAGTTGCATCAGGCTAGTTGTCTTGTTCAACTCACTATAATTTTGGCTATTGTTTCCCCTGGCTAGTTACAATCGAGTCTACTGGAGGGCTACCGCCAGAGGCACTCTTCACAGAAGCCGTGAGGATCCTTGAGGAGAAGTGTGAGAGAGTGATATCTGGACTGTCATAAGTTCTAGGGATCACTGTTTGTTTCTTCACGGTTATATTCTTTTTGCGAATTTTTTTTTTCCGATGAAGAGCTGAGTTAGTAACATATAGGTACTTTTTTTGGGTGACTTGAGAGAAGTATGTTTCTGATTACACCAATTTTATCATTCTTGAGAATGTACCTAGAAGTATCATATTTTCTAGTGTAAAATTTGTTACCTCTAAGTACTAAGTAAGGTACCAAAAATTTTAATGTAAAATTTAGATACCTTAAGAAACTTTCTCAAGTATTGTAAAATTCCTCTTCTAATTACTATCTTGTCCTGAGAACCTAACTGCATTTTTTAGCGGTCCGGATTAGGGGTTTAAATACAAAAGAGCTTACCTCGCCCTGCATAAACATTGTAGACTTACATGGGTCTCCTTGTGCTGGGGCCAACGGGTCACATGAGCTGATATATAATAATTACTGATCTATTATTAATAGAAAAAAATATAAGGGCCATTTTGGCCGGAACTCCAATTTTCGTTCCAAACTCTTAAGACAATAAAATTATAGCGATTTTTGTTGCATGATGTGCTTAAAATTGTGGCAACTTTATTAATGCACGCACTCAAGTGAGTAAAACATGTTCGGTGGGAGACGAGAACTCGGTGTTGTTCTGGGAAGATTGTTGGCTGCAGGGCACTTCAATTCGGTCGCTGGCACCGGCTGTTTAGGCGGCTGTCCCAGGGCGGTTGCAGGGCAAACGCACGATGTCTAAGGCGCTGCACGATAGGAGATGGATTCGCGATATCTCTTTGGCGTTGGGGATGCAAGCGATCCTTGAATACTTCAAGCTTTGGGAGCACCTTCGATCAGTGCAGCTGTCTGATGAGCCGGACAAGCTTTCTTGGCGTTGGGAGAACTCAGGGCAGTACTCCTCCCGCTCGGCTTATCGTATTCTCTTCTTGGGGAGAACTCAATTCCAGCACAAGCCAATCTGGAAGTCTTTCGCCCCTCCTCAATGCCGCTACTTCCTCTGGCTGGTCGCTCTCAAGCGATGCTGGACGGCGGACCGCCTTCGAAGCCGAGGCCTGTCACACCCGGATCGTTGCCCCCTCTGCGATCAATGCGACGAAATGATTGATCATCTCCTGGTCGCATGCCCGAAGTCCCGGCAGCTTTGGTGGATTGCTCTTAGTGCTATCGGTCATTCCGAATGTCTACCTCTCAACGAGCAGTCTTTTCATGCCTATGACAGTCCCAAAAGGATGATTAAGGATCATCGCCGAGGGTTTGACACAATTGCGACACTGGTAGCGTGGACAATCTGGAAGGAAAGAAACAATCGGGTCTTCAACCAGAAGAGCAGACCTTGGATGGAGATAGCTAGGGCTATGATGTGAGAAGCGGACCTCCGGCGGATGGCTAGATCAGCCATACCGACCATGAAAGTCCCTTCGCTTGTTCTTGGGTCGCCGAATCATTCGGGAGATTAGGCTTATGCTTTTCTTTTCCCCTCTCCTGTACCATGTCCCTTCTTTTTATTTTTTAGGCCCACTATGTAAATACATTTATTCCTCTTAATAAAAAAAAATGTGTGTCTCGCGTATTCCCAACTAAAACATGTGCAACCGGAGAAAATTATTTTTCATACAGTAAAATTGCCAGTTCGGAATAAATTATTCTAGACTGAGAAGTAAAATGGTATTTCTATATATATGTTTCTTTTCTTTTACTAGTGTGTACAATATATTTTGTACAATATCCTCTGCTCAATATCACTATGCTTTTACTAGTAAATTTTCGCTCCCGAAAACAATCATCTCAAATCTAAATTGCTCCACCAAAATGAGCAAAGTAAGAATGAATGAAATCCAAGAACTCTGGAAGAATTAATTGACCATCCTGGTTAACCAATTATTCAACAGCTATAGCAGTACTTGTCATCCGCTCTTGCAATCCTCAATCTCTTCACGCTTGTCAGGAACAGCCTGCCTCATCCAAAAAAAAAAAAAGATTAAGGAGAATCCATAATTAGTTCAAAAGATATAATTTGAGAATTAATAAAGAAGAAAAAAAGACAAATATATCAGTGTTTCGTTGTTTTGAAAACTCATGCAATTTAATCATATAATCAGTCTAAATAAATATAAAATTAGGTGGTCAGAGCTGAGCTAGCTTGCCATACTCCCATGGCACGTCTCCAGCCATCATCCAGTCTCCCTCCTGGTCTTCGTATGTCAGAACATGATGAACCTTGTTCGTCTTCATCCCGACGACGGCGAACTGTCGATGGCAATGATGATCTTGCATATATGATCAAATGAACAGCAAATTAGCCACAGCAATTTCAGAGTTTAGTGATCAATCAATATAGACAAATCGATCAATGCCTGAATAATGTTACGTACAGGTGATGGATGCTCTGAACATGGAGGCGAGCCGTGCGACGAGACCTTTGTAGCCGTCCAGCGGCAGCAGGTCCAGCTTCCTGCCGATGGGGACGCCCTCCATGTACACCTTCACGAACAGTGACCGTCGCCGTCCATGGCCGCCGCCGCCGCCGCCTCGATCAGCTGTCACTGTCGCCGTCGTGAGGGAACTCCTAAGAAATTAAGATCAAGCTCGATCAACAGGTAGTAGCAACCAAGATAATCGCTTAAGTTATTAACATATATCACATTTTCTAATTTCTATGGTATAAAAATTGGTATCTTCACATAAAGATAATTTCTTTAACATGTTTCTTTTTTTCACGAATGCGCAAAAGAGTTACATGTCAATATATTAGAAAAGGCAAGATTTCAATTACACGATGCAACCGGTCGAATGGCCATTGCCAGGGAACAAGGGAGGAAAAAAAAACGAAAACCGAAAAGACCGAAAGCAAACTTCTTACGACTATGTATCGAATACCTTCTCAAGTATCTTAAAATTTCTCTGAAATTAAAGCAGTAGGTGTGCAGAATGATCAGAGATCGAAATCTTGCCTTGGGGTAGAAGGGTTGTTGCCGTCGATGTGGACGACGGAGGAGAGGGTGAGCCCGAGGCGAAGATCTGTGCTGATCAGACTCCGCCGCTTCGCCGCCGTCGCCGGCGGTCGGCAGCCGGAAGACGCCGTGGATTGCGCCGGCGCCGTCGTCGTCGTCGTCGGCAGTTCGCCGCTGCAACTATCCATGGAGGAAGAAGCTGGGAGAGACTCTTCAGTACTCGCCATGCACTCCATGAAATCAAGGGTGGTAGGGTCGGTCGATCGGATCCAAGAACTAGTAGTTCGCTAGAGACAGAAAACAAAAGAAAAGAAAAAGAAGATCACTAGAGAAATGAGGAGCACCCAACGATGACCCCTCTTTTTATTGTGTCAAATTTATAGAGAGAAAGAGAGAGAGAGATGGGTACGGTGTTTTAGTGGTTGCACCGCCATCAGCTATTCAGCTGGTACGTATGTTGCTCAATGTATGTTCTTCCCCCCCATTTAAAACCGAAGGGACGCCGGTTAGTACTGAACTATACTGATTGTCTCTTCCTTACCCTTACACATCACCTCAAACCCTACGTACAGGCATGTTCTAACTTCAAAGTTCTAATGGGATGATTTGATTGATTACAGATAGAGGAAAATTGTGCGTATGGATAAATTAAATGTTATAAAATCAAATAATATAAAGCTAACAAAAAGTTGAGTAAAGGTTATACAGAGTTTTTAGAGAAATTATAGTTTTGGGAATGTGATATGAATAATTTGTGTTTAGAACGTACACCTACAATCTCCTAAAACTTCACAAAGGGATTTCTCCCTTTCTCCTTCCTCTTCTCCCACTGTCCGTAAAAAGATTGGATTTTGATTCTCCTTTCGTCTCCTTCTCCCACCCTACCGCTCTAAGCGGTTAGATCTTGAATTATTAATTCATATACTTCCAACCCATCATAGATTTTTATTTAATTTTTAATTTAAAAATAAACACTACCAAAACTTATTTTCACGATTTGAATCTTTTGGTCATGCCAACCAGGCTGACATGGCAAAACAATACTACCACGCTAATCCGGCTAGCGTGGCAGCGTTATTTGGCCACGTAGGTCCGGTTGGTGTGACAGCGTTGTCTTACCACGCTACTCTAGCTGGCACGACATAATAAAACTATCACGTCCGCTACAGGTGGCATGTTCACATTTTAGAAATAAGTTTTGGAATGATACATTATTGAAGTTAAAAATTTAAAAAGTTATAAAAAATATTAAAAAAAAGATCGGTGACGTGGGAATGTAGTAGTAAAATGGAACAATTATATATTCACATGCCTTAATAAGATTTCGGCTACTCATCCTAGTTTGTGCTAATTAAGAGCATGTTCTTGTGGATGAATTTATGGTGCACCATAAATTTTTTGAATAATATTATTCAGAAAATTTAAGTAATTATTAATTCTTTTTCTATCATTTAATTCATTGTTAAATATACTTTTATATATACATATAGTTTTACATATTTCACAAAAGTTTTTAATAGGACGAATGGTCATCAACGACGTCAAATATCTAGGGATGGAGGGAGTACTATTCTAAATTTCTATAATGTTTTCTACCAACAATTACATAACCCTTCAACTATTGTGGAGTAACAGACAGAGCTCCCGTGAGTCCGTGACAGATCGAGAATAGTGTTGGCAAGCTAGCAAGTTTTCTGCACTCGAGTACAGGCAATGTGGCCACCGATGGTATCTCGTGTGTGACCGCAAGAGCTAGCTAGCAATGCATTATTATTAACTTGGCATCGCCATCAAAACGAGCATCTATCTCGTGTGATGTTTGCTCCGATCCACTGCACATGCACCCGCCAACCGACCCAACATACATTCCTTCATTCAAATTGCCTTTTCACCAACTTCTTCACATGTAGTACAAGCGCGCCAGAGTGATCACATTTTTGATTATCAAGTGCTGGATCCTGATCGATCCCAGCGGTATTATGATTTTCACCAAAATTTGATTAAACTTTAGTCAAACCTATTGTTGCAAATTTGGAGATATACTTTGTGCAGTGGCAAGGGATGTGTGGTTACAACCCTGAGATTTCGGGACGTCTCTTCATCCAAATCTCTCTTTTGTTTTAATATTGTTGCAAATTTGAACTCTCAAAAAATATTTTAAGTTTCACTTCAGGATGTGCTTTCGTTCCGTGTTGAAACCTCAAAAATTTACAGTTTTCGTTTAAAAACGGAAGCTAGCCTTCCAATCCCTTCCTGTAATCAATCTCAGTACAGGAGTTCTCACATTAACAAAAAAAAACAATATGATCACTAATTAGATGTTCCGCATTATTACGATGATTAATGGTAGTGACGTTATAATAGAGGGTCTTTATCCGATCTATATGTATATCGTCCTTGACCTACATCAATTCATGCACATTAGCTATATACAGTTGCTAGATCATTCACATGCGCACTGTTGAACAAAGTCTCCATATGCACGCGCTATACATACGTACACATATACACATGCACTATACATCAGCATCATGCCAATAAACACTTAATAAATTTACAACAGGAACGTAAGATGATAAAGTCAACTTAATTAATTATGCGAGTCTCTATTTTAATTCTTAGCCACCATGGATAGGAGTAGATAACTGCATCCGGTACCCTCTCCTAGCTCTGAATTTATAGTGAACTTTCAAGCAAACATGAAAGTATACTCCGATAACTTTATCACCATTCACATATATCCATCCTGAAAATGTACTCGTCATCAGTCTATAAATCAATCTGCTCGTTTTGCGCGGCAAGAATAGTGGAGGAATTGTTCAAGAGGATCATAACTGCATCGCCGTGACGATGTCGACGCCTCAACTGCAAGCCATTACTGTTTAGCCAGCTTCAAACTCATGTCAAACAGCTACTATTAGTACAGACACACAACACTGTCCTCCAACGCGCAATAATCTCGATTATATTCATTTGTACGCATTAAGGCATTAATTTGTAGAGATTGGATTGATGTCTATCGACAAAAATGCATTAATGTAGATAATGATGTTTCATAAAACTAATTAACTACTTATAGATACCGTTTGATTCAGCTCATTGACTGAGCTACTCCCAATTTATCATGTACAAACTTATCGATTTGTTAAAGGATACATTTTTCTTTAAACAATACTTTATATATAGATATGTTCTTTTTAAAAAGTAAAATAAATCTATTTTTTAAGTTTATAATAGTTAATTAATGCTTAATCATACGCTAATGATATATCGTATTTTCGTGCATATCGATCATCTCACGTACTCCTACTATAACTCTACGAACTAAATCAAATAGTGCCTCGAGCAATTTGCTAGCTAGGAGCGGGACAAAAATGCATTAACGTAGACAATGACACGACATTTCATAAGCTTAACTACTTAAGCAATTTGCTAGGAGCCTAGGATAGGATAATGAAGAGAAAGTGAAAGATCGATGGAGCTAGGTGCTTTTGTGAAGGACAAGTTCCTAAGCTTGAGGTGAACAGTTAAGAAAGAAGAGAGATGGATATTCATGAGCTTAATTTAATTTCTGCATATAGAAAGGAGAGTGAATTATTCCGTTAGCTTTACAGTTATCTAGCTTTATTGATCTACAAAGGCAGTACACAAGAGATATAGACCTGTGTTTCAGGATTATATTATGTTTGATGCTCCAACAAAGAAGACAAGCAAAGTATAAAAGGTGTGTCAGTGATGGGAGTCTTTTGATCTTGTCCAGGACAGTGGAAAAAAGAAAAGAATGTCTAAGAAACTTTATCAAGATGAAAACGAAAAGAGAAAGCAGTTGGTGAGAAACTGAGAAAATGCACAAAGCTTTAATTACTAATTTGTCCTCATTTCAAGCCATATATAGCACTGTTACCACAAAATTGTTTTAGGTGTTCCTGATTTGTGAAGACACACCAAATCAAATTCTTGCAAATTTGGTTTAGTCATTACCTGCTAGTTGTAACAATATTACAATATTTCTAGTAGGAAGGAACAACACCGGATGCTTGCTTGTCTTGCTCCTGAAGAAATGCAGAGCATCTGGAGGAATTTTTTTTTCTTTTTTTTGCAGGGAATGTGCAGCGAGGTGATAGAGGGGAGAAGAAAGTGATTGCCATCGATGGCGTTCAGCGCTTTGTGTGCAATGCAAGCGTGCACTCCTAAAGCCAATGCATGTCTCTGCAACCTTCTCTTTATCTTCATGTCGTCCTGAACGATCGAACACCATGTAATTAACAAAATGCCTTTCATAGAACAGAGTGGCAGCCGTTTGCAAGCTGCAGGGCTGTACATCTCTGATCCAGCGATCCCCATTCAGGGTACTCTGAACTGGAGATGACAGTACTTGGATCGATAATATGCAGCTATTGGGGTTTTATTGGGAGAGTAGTGGGCTCTACCCCCTTCCAGCTGGTTGGAGTTGTACTTTCCGAGTCTTTTTCCTTTAGTCTTTTGTTTCCCTCCTCTCTTGGCATAAATCGGTCTGGCTTAATGCGTTGTGTAACGAATATTCTTATCTTCTAATATATTGACATGCAATCCTTTTGCGCGTTTGAGAAAAAAGATAATATGCAACTATACGAGTGAGATTATAGAATCTAGATGAATAGATAGAGATAGTATAATGTGTCGTATAAGAGCAGGTATAATAGCAGACTATTAGCCAGCTGCAAACATATTTTAATGAGATAAAAGATGAGAGAGAAGAGCAGCGGGCTACCGATATGTAGCCAGCTACAGCGCGGACTTCAATACGCAATGTGTGTATAACATATGGGACCATATATTAATAATATTGTAAACAACTATTGTATGAATTGGCTATTAGATTGGCTAAGGACGAATTAGAGCTAGTAGTGGGCTATACTATCAAACTTGCTCTAACACATTATACGCGATGCAATTATCGATGCATGCCATATATTGTCATGTGTAACACCATTGGCTGGTCAGACGATGAACCTGCTCAGCCATGGCCCTAATGATGATGTCCTAGACGACGACCATGCATCCTTCCATCCATGATCCATGGCCTTCGTTTGTCCGGTGGGGACAAAACATGCAATCAGATGTAGAGTGAGGAAGAAGGCTAGCTACAAGGGAGCTAAGGCTGTGTTCGCATGCACCTTTTCCCATCCCCTCTCCTTCATTTTCCGCACGCACGCTTTTCAAACTACTAAACGGTGTGTTTTTTGCAAAATGTTTCTATACGAAAGTTGCTTAAAAAATCAAATTAATCCATTTTTGAAAAAAAAATAGCTAATACTTAATTAATCACGTGTTAATGGACCGCTCCGTTTTCCGTGCACAGGAGTTAGGTTCCCATCTCCCCCATCCGAACTCAGCCTAAGCCGGCAAGCAAAGGGATTGGCCACCTGCATGCATGCTTAATTTTCTTGAAAATTCATCGGTCGATGATGATATGATTGGCATTTCAATATTTCATGATGGATGGCTAAACTTGGTTAAATTTCCATCAGGAAATCAAACTCTACTTGTTGGAGGGAAATAAATTAAGGAGATCCAGTAGCAGTGCTACTGTAAATCATGGGCCTAAAGACCAGCAGAATTGTCTATGTAGGGCTTGCCAAGATTAAAGGGATGCAACTGAAAGGGAATGAATCATGAGGTCATGTCGCTAGCTTATTTGTAAGAATCGTTACTGATTTGAGTAGGTTGGCGTGCCACTTCTTATAAATCAGTTGCAACTGATTTGATCTGGACGAAAAGCTATACTGGGCATGTTAGGAGGAGTTTTTGACAGCTGTAACTTCTCTCAGAATCAGGAACTCATCCAGACAGTTTAGCTTTTCGTTTATATTTTGAGAAACTATAGCGGTAGAATTCAGAAAATGGGATCTGTTTGGGGAGCTTCTACTAGTTGCAAGTTCTTCTAGAATCAGAAGCTTCAGATTCTAATAAGCTACCAGCTACGAATCACCTGGTTCTTGGAATTTCAAGCTCCTCTAAATTTTAAGCTTCAGATTCTAAATGAATTTCAAGCTTTTTCTTTTTGACTGTGAGAAAACATGCAGCTACCAAAACTCCTCAATACAGGCCCTTTCAGATTCGTTTCAGGAGCTAGGCCAGTGACTTTGAAGCCTACCAAAACTCCTCAAAACAGGCCCGTTCTATGCAATCTGGGCCGCGCCCATTCCCCTACGGCCCACGAATCGGCCTCGTGAGGCCCGCCGTGACAAACTGACACGGTGACAGTATAAGGGGCTCGCATCCGACAGACACAGCGACTCCTCCCTCTGGTTGTTCCCACCCTCCCTCTCGCACGCACGGACGTCGGCGACTCCGGTGTCCCCTTCCCGACCACCGCCGCCGCCGCCGCCCACCTCCTCCTCCGGCGGACGCGGGGGATGGCGGAGAGGGGATCGAGGGGCTTCTCCGCGGCCTCCAAGGGGAAGGCCATCGCGTCCAAGAAAGGTGTCGCCGCGCTCCCGTTCGCCCCCTCTGAAACTTCATTTCTCTCTCTCTCTCTCTCTCTCTCTCTCTCTCTCTCTCTCTCTCTCTCTCTCTCTCTCTGTTCGGCGTATGATATCTCCTTGTCGTTGCTGTCTCTCGGCTCTCGGTCACGGTCACGGTGGTATAGCTCGCTCGGCGAGACGGTGGTTCGGATTTACCGGTGGGGATCGGTACAGTACGGGACCAATGGCAGGGGGCTAGGGTTTATGGCTTTATGCTGTGCGGAGGGTTTTTTCGCTTTGTAGTGTGGCTATTAAAGGCATGGACTTATGTAATCGTGGGGGCTTATGATTTGGGTTATGCTCGATTTGCGCGGTATTCGGTGGAATGGCAGATATGTATTGTATGGCAATGCCGTTTTGCGCTTGGGGGATATGCTCTTTTCCAGAGAGGAGAGGGGAAAGACAGTCCTTTCATCAAATAGTGTGACAGAAATTTGTTAAAAGTAAAGCAAAGATATATAAGCGATTGCATTGTTGGTTAGAATACATTTATAAACGATTGCATTGTGAGGCAGCCCTCTGGGCAGAAAATCTAAAGATTGAGGATCGACATGTAATTTCTGTATGGAAACAGATTTTCTCTTTCCATCTAGACTCTAAACTTATTGTAACGAACTCTATTTCTCTCCCATATGCAATGACAAATTCAGGTGGGGACTCCCCCCCCCCCCCCCCCGGTGAGTTAGTAAAAAAAAAACTATAGCTGGCTCACATGGTGTTAGACTTCTTAAACATACTGACAGCTTTGTGATCCATTGTCTCAAATGTGGACGCTGAGCACGCTCACCGCTTCTTAATTAATTGTCTCGCAACTCTTCCTTGGTTGTCCCGCATGTTTTTATTGTCTCATATATATATATGGCTTCATTTTGACCATAATCTCAGAAAGGTAGTTAATTTCCCTGTCCGTCCTTTCTAGATATAGTTTTAGGTAGTTAGTTTTGTCCTCAAATAGATGCCCTTTTAAGGTTTTCTATGTAATGTTTTCCTGTAATACCACTGTTATAAGTAATTGGCATGAGTTCCGTACTGCCAATGCTATTCAGTTCATTTATTCCTAAATCTAAGTGCCAACCTCAATTAATGGTTTGATTAAGAGAATGCAGCGCCGTGTAACCAGAATGTCGAGAGATAGGTTAGTTAATTGCTATGAGGGGTAATGTTTACACATTTATCAGGAGTAAAAGATGTATTAGTCTCTGGAATGGATGTGAAAATGACATCCTTTGGCGAATGGAGAGAGTTGCTCAAGGCGTGAATGTAATAGATAAAACAGAGTAGTGCGCTTTAGAATAATTTTACAGAGCAGCTCATGTAGTTGCTCACTGCTGAAGAGACCCTTATTGTTATTGGCGATCAATTGTATGACAGGTTTTGGTGCTTAGGTTTCAGTTAATGAAGAAATGTTTTCATTTTGGTACACCACAAATATTGTGAAACATTGGTTTTCTTAGATCTACCCTTGTTTCTGTGGGTTATACTCTCTTGGTAAAGGATGTTTCTATGATGGAGTATTGCCTAAGAAGTAAATTAGAATTGAATAATTGATGCATGCACACTTTTGTCTGCTGAGAGGGATCATTGCAACTAATGCTGTCATGCAATACGCTGCACCATCTATTGTGTAATTTTGTGATCCTGTTAAGTGTTGATTTTTATATATGTTTTTCAAAACATGCGCTGTAGATTTTGTGATTTCGAACTAATAATCTGACAGATCTACCAATGAATGTTTTTACAGGTTCACTTAGGCAAAACAGCTCTGCCAATATCCCGCATGTTAATATTGATTCCGATTCTGATTCTGAAGGTAACAGTACTTCCGATTTTCATGCTACAGACAATCCGCTCTATAAATTCTTTAAAACCAGCAAATGTATTTTTAGCACGTCATTCTGGGCATGCCAATAAGGGCACTGTTATGTGCGAGCATAGCCATGTCCTAGGTTGTCCCACTTTCCATGAACTTTCACTGTGTTGAGGTAACTTGGCTCATGGCTGAATATCTATATGGTAACTCTCTAACATGTTGATGTGCACATGATATGCCACTTGAATAATCAACAATTCACAAACTCAGCACAGGTAGATGAATTGGTACCGCATCATGCTACCCACAGCCATTGTGATAAAAATATGAGAAATTCACTCCATTGTAGGAGAAACACGAACAAGCTAGAAATTCATTCATCAAATTCAAGTCCATTATAATGGATACATCATACATGCAATGGCTTCTATAACTGATTTAAGCGCATTATCATATGGAAATAAATATGGCACATAGTAATACATTATACCTAAATCCTACTTTTAGAAACAAGATATATCATTTTGCTTTCAGCTAACCGCATGTTAATTTCCGTACGACTACTAATCTGACTACTGTAGCATTTCTTTTCCCCTTGTTGACCGCAAGCTCCAATATGTCCATCACATGCTGTATCAGACATGTTCAATGTTCTCTCATAAAGTATCTATTTCACTTTTCCTGGCAACCTTCACATTGTTGATCAAACTACTGCATGGAAAATGTTCTTCGAGGAATATATACCATGTTTTAGGGTTTTTTTTTTCATTTACTGAAGCTAGACGATGTAGTTGATACATGATTGCAGTTACACTTGATCTGAATGCACATACTGCTTTTAGTGTGATGTTATGCTGATTGCTATCCAATTGCGACTCATGTATGTGCATATAACTGGTTAATGATGGAGCTGCCTATGCCATAATTGCTATTCAATATTTTGAGAAGATAAAATTATGGGACAAATGTGGCAGTTGAATGGCACTTGAAATATGAGTAATATGATGACACTATTTTAACCCCGTGGCCATCATTTATCACTGCATGCGCTTAGGTTTCGTGGAAGAACTGCCTCGTGTCAACTCTAAAACAAATGGGAAGGCTGCATCTGAGAGCCTAAAAACTGGCGGGAAGGCCTCATCTAAAGGTATATAGATACACATTTTACTCTTTTTTGCTTCTAAAGCTGCTGATATCTTTCAAATCTGCAATGGCTCAAAGTGCCAGGGCCAAGGGTCCTACTTTTCTGTGGCTCTTGAATTTATTTCTTTCATGTGCTATTTTATTACTGTTAAGCTCTATTTTCTTTTCCTTTTTAGGACAAACTGGCAAAGGAGGGAATGCTGGCAAAGGTGGAAAGGGTTCTGCATCAGCTCGAGTTTCTGCAAAGTCTGATGCAGAGCTAAAGCTTGAGCTCGGTCAGCCTCCAACTATGAAATACCATAAATGCAGCTTTCTGTTTGTCCTTTCTATACTGAATGAATAGTTTGATAGTAAACATGACAATTTCTGTTATATTAGTAAGCTGTTTAGTTGAAAAGTTTTATGTAATGAAATTTGGAAAACCATTCTCAATGAAGGTTTTTATATTTTGACATCATTATGAATGACAGACATATTATCTCCAAGAGCTTTTACTCTACAGAAAAAATGCAAGCCAATCTCTGCTTCCTTTCCCATATGAAAAGTATCTAAATCTTCTACCTGGTTGCAGATATGCCTCCAAACTCTTGCATTTTAATGAATTGTGAAGTAGCAGAACTATTGCAAGAAATTCATGAGCATATGGCTATCTTATCAGAGGATCCAAAGATCAAAATTCCAGAGTAAGAATTTAGAAACCTTATGTTTTTGTGTTGTAGTTTTATCTCACTAGTCATTCTTTATGTTGTTTGCAAGTCTTTTACCTGTTTGGCTACTCGTTTACTCTGTTTCTTCTGCAGGTCATTTGATAAGGCTTTCCAATATGTGAAAGAAGGAAATCAGTTTTCCACCGCACAGTCTGTGAAACAAGTCCTAGAGTATCCTTTAATTTGATTCGAGCTTGGCATATTAATATATATTAACTGTACAACGATTTAATTTTAATCAAGCAAGCTAATTGGTTCTTCAGTTCCTTGACTAGTATACGCAGCCCTCTTAGAAAATATGGTGTTAGTGATGGAGAGGTCTGTAACCCCTAAATGCCCTTCTCTCCTTTATAATCTATTATAGCATTCTAAAACAGTTTGGCACATATTGCAGATGTGCTTGATAGCGAACGTTGGACCTGAGACCATTGAAGAGGTTTATGCGCTAGTACCATCCCTGAAGGTCAGCCTTTTTCTTTCTAATTTCAGTCCTGCGTTATCTAAACTTATTAGCAACTAACGCCTCCAAAATCCTTTATTATCAATAGGCCACTAGATCACTCAACGAAAGTCCCATCATGGAGGCTCTCACTGCGCTTGCTGACATAAAAGCTGCTAAGTGAATCTCCAGTGAAGCTATGCCGGTAATCCCTGTGGAGATTTTTTGTTAGCCATACGTCTCTATCCTGATTATTCACCTTATCGATCTCAGTTGCCTTCTGAATCTTAAACAGATATGTTGTGGATCAAGAAATGGAGATTCGCAACTTGCGTTTGTCTTTAATGTTCTGAATGTTTTGTCAAATCAGGTTGCGCTGTGTATGCAAAAAAAAACAACCAAGTGCCATGTGCACTTTACTTATCTAGGTCTGATAGGTTGAACCTGAGTTCAGAGACTACCGTATCTAACTGCAAATGTTGCTAGAAATGGCTGAAGTAGCCTACTCAGAATTGCTAATTGCTAACCTTGGGGTAACTGGCTTAAACAATGAGATGGTTCTTTTGGGTTTTTTAGCCTCTACTTGTCTGTTTACTTACGGTGCAAGTGGCCGCTCTAGTTATCAGTAGTAAGTTCTGAAAGTTGATGTTTCCCTGGCGGCAGATGCGTTTCGCTGCTTGTTTCAGGCTTTCAGCGCGATGCGTACGTCGCGCAATTGAAGGGGAAATAATCGACAAAACTGTGTCGCAATAATTGCTTGTTCTAAATTATAGAGTTGATCTTTTATGCGGACAGTTTCTGGTTGAATGCCTGGGCCGAGCGACAGTTGCTGAAAACATCTACCATTTCGGCGTTGATGAGCGAGACACCTGAGGTGTGCAGCATGTGCTTCACTCATCGAAGATCAAAGCAATCATTATATAGACCTGTTTGGCTGTATCAACACGAAGAACAAAACAAATTTTACTGCACCGCTGTACTAGCAAGCAATCAACCTCGAAAACTCACCCCGCACACACCAGCAAAAGCTGTCTGCTGTATGCACGGTTTAACAGTAACAGCTTTGACGGTTTCATTGGCTGATGAGCCACGTCACTCTCACGCCGTTTGCGTGGGGTGGTCGAACGGCAGCGGGCTCACGGCGTCGCTGAGCGGGCCGGCGTGCCGGAACCCGTACGCCCTGAGCACCTGGTCGTCGGCGAAGCTGAGCGCGCGGCGGATGCCCTCGTCGCAGCTCTTCCCCGTGTAGTGCTCGTTCCGGTGGCCGCTGCACGGCTGGCATCCGGTGAAGTGCGTCACGAACGGGCGCCGCCACCCGCTCACCCCGCTCTCCGCCAGCCCGGCGCCCGCCAGCGCGGCGTCCCTCGCCGCCGCGTACGACGCGTGCTCCGCCTCCGCGTGCCGCCTCCGCAGCGGCGCCGCCCCGCGCTCCATCGCCTCGTACCGCTCCGTGATGTTGCCGAGCCTCCCCGCGATCTCCAGCCAGTACCCCTCGAAGTAGTAGTCGCTCTCTAGGTACACCTTGTCCCGCCACGGGCTGCCGCTCTGCAGCAGCATGTACACGAGCGCCGACTGGTCGTCGGACTCGTTGAACACCTTGTCCTTGAAGGTGGAGGTGAGCACGGCGCCCCAGTGCTGGTACTCCGGCGAGTCCGGCCCCATGGCGGCCCACGCGTCCATGAAGTCGAGCGACCACTGGCAGTTGCGGATGAGGAACACGCCGGCGTTGAGGCTGGTCCACGACCTGGACTCGTACACGAGGTGCGGCCAGCCATGGGCGACGAAGTTGTGGTCGCGGTACCGGCTCAGCGGGAGGCGGAAGTCCATGTCGGTGAGCACCGCGTCGGAGTCCACCCACCACACCCACTCCGCCTCCGGGTGGGCGACCATGGCGGCCCGCACCACCGGGATCTTCGCCCAGTACCTGTCCATCGACGGCCGGAGGAGCGCCGTGTTGTACAGCAGCTGCACGCCGTTGAGCCGGCAGTAATCCAGCTTGTTCTTCAGCAGCCGTGTCAGCAAGCTGTCCCCCGCAGGCGACCCGCACGGCTCCGGCTGCGACCCGGACACCATCAGCACGCGCTCGCCGCCGCCTCCAGCCAGCTCCGGGTGCGCGCGGAGCCACTCGGCGCGCTTCTCGTCCCACCCGACGATGGGCCGGTCGATGGTGTACGCCACCCCCGGGTCGTCGTAGAACGTTCGCCCGCCGCCGAGCCGGTCGACCTCACCGCTCCCCACGCCGGACGACGGAGACGACGAGGAGGAGAAGGGCGAGGCGAGCGTCAGCAGCAGCACGGACCCCAGCACGGCGCCGGCGGTGAAGAGGGCCGCGTCGGCGAGCCTCCCCCTGCTGGCGCGCGGCGGCATCGTCGACTGTCGGTGGTGCCTCAGCCCGCGCCTCCATGGGGGGTGAAGATGCCGCGCGCCCGTCGTCGCACGCATGGCGCACGCTGGGCACTGACACGCGGGGCGAGAGCCGGAGGTGGAGGAAGCGTACGAGGCCTCGCGCAGCCGTGCCGTGCGCAAGGGGGCGGAAGCTCGAGTAGAAACCAAAGGAGGAGAAAGCTCGGGAGGAAGAAGCCAAGGGAGAAAGAGAGGTTTTAGCGGAGCGGGGTGGGGACGAGAGGGTGGTTGGGCCGCGGCGTGCGTCCAAAATCCCAAAAATGGGCGTCGCCTCGCGCGTGTAGCTCGCGCAGGCGGAGCGGAGCGGGCGTGCGTGACGAGACCGACGAGATCACGAGAGACGGCCGCTGGGTTGGTGCGCGTTTTGGATACCCAAGCCACGCACGAGATGGCCGTGACATGCAGAAAACGGCGTGTGTTCTGGGCGTGGATTCGTGTCCCAAGCTTCCACTTCCAACTGGACGTGTCTCCATGTCATGGTCTAGAAGGGGAAGGGGCATCACGTCATGGGACAGTGCAAACATCCAAAGACAACTCGGGGCTGGGCACTCGGGAGGATGTTTGAGAAACAACATTGACTCGCTGTTCAATAAACTACAAACGGAAAGGGAAATGTTCGGCTGCTGCCTTTTGTCTTTTTGCTACCCATTTCTTCGGTTTTTGTCTCAGAAAGTAAAGGAGGTGAGCTGGAAATAGTGTTGCATGCAGAGGAAGCGACAGAAATGCAGAACAGAAAAGAAGGAAGAGAATAGATGAAGAAAAAAAAACAAAGGAAAAACTGGGGGCGTAGACGTGCGCAGTACATCTCCAGCAGCAGAGCAACGGCCCCGACCGACCTTGCCTTGACAAATGTCGCGCGTTTTGCTGAGTTTCTGCAGAGACGCTGCATGAGCCATCGCCCAGAGCTGAGTTTCTGCAGAGATCCTGTGTGGCATGTGATGAATTCGACAGTGACCAAACATCGGCCAACCAGGAGGCAAGAACGCGGACCAACCCAACGACCCCAAACATCACCTGCGTGTCTGGATCAGAGAAAACGCCTCATCATCAGAATTCAGATGATGTATCGGTTAGGGACAAATATTGTCACGTATTTTTTTACTACGGAGTAAGACGGTTAAGCTTAGTCTTGTCACATTTTTGTAGCAAACAAAATGACAAATTAAGTATAGGCAAAGTTAGACAAATAAATAAAGTGTATGACATAGATCAAGTGACTAAGATTTAGACAAAGCAAAGTTATAGCATGAACTGAACACTGTCTACTAAAATTTTGACTTACCTATGATTAGGTGTAGCAAATTTAGTTGCCAATCAAACATATTCTTTGTGATTAACAATTTATCCATCAAACTTTTATAGATGTCACAACTTATTCAACCTTAATTGTGACAGAGTGAAACCGATAACCTAGCACAACCTAAATCTCGCGCCAGTCACCGACGAACGCTGCACGCGCATCTCGCGGTCGGATTCGGATTCGGCGTCGGTCAGGCACTGCAGCTTGGCGGCGGCCATGTGCCCGTGGTGGTGTCGACTGGCGACAGCAACACGAGATTGCTTTCGGGAGGAGTGGCAGCAAGCCGGCAAGATCTCTCCCCTAGCAGGTAACTTCACTACCCCTTTCCCTTGTATGCCTTGTCGGTTCACCATCAAGTGGTTTGGATGTCAAATCTACTGCAAGAAATGAAGAGAACTGTTAATTTTCGGGTAATAATAATAGTAGTCATCAGATTCCTCCATGATTAATTAGCCCACATGCACGATCCATTTCTATTTTAATTTTTGCCTCTATTGTGGCTTGCAGTAAACCCTTACATGATACATACGGTGGTGAGAGTGACCGCCTACCTTGTCTATTTTCAGTTCATATTCAAGGAACAGCCTTACATATATTGGCATTGTGTGCTTACAGCTTATTTGGCTGAATCTGGGTGTATAGGCGTATAGTTATTGTCCAAATCATTTTTCCCGACAATAAGTTTATCCAATCTCTTGTATTTTACTCTCTCTCTCTCTCTCTCCCTCTCCTGCCTGCTACAGTTGCTTTCTCTGCGCTCGATCGGCACTGTGCAGAAGAAGCTATGTCATTCATTATGCTTATATGCTTGTGTGGCATAAATATTCTGATGAAGTTCACTATCTAAGCTCTAGTGGAGTGCATTATTGAAAATGGACTATCTGTTCTCTCACGAGCGGATATGAAATATTATCCTCCTCGTTCTTATATGCTGAAGAGACAACTCCTAGCGGGTCATTGGCCTTTTCTTCCCACTCGTCTTACAGTCTCGCGATGCTGAAAACTTTGTTAGGAATCTCTCCTCACTCTCTAGGTGTTAATCACAAACACTCAAATTTTCTTTCTCGTGGACACACTCACAGAAGAACTGAAAGAACACACTCAAGCTTTTGGTTGACGCAGCCAACTAGCTCACATCGTTTTCTTGTTTATATAGACTCAGTACATGCAAAGAGATAACAATGGCCAAACCCACTAAGCCACAACTCACGCCATGCACACAAACGTGGGATGCCCATGCACTAAGTAACTAACTAATCCTACTTATTTGCCAAGAAATCCCTTTACATGATTACCACTAATCGCAGCACATGCAGCTAATCACTAGCAACAACTAAATCTCATGCACAGCTAGGACCGATTCACTCGGCTAATACTGACCTTGCCTTACTTGCAATTCGGCTACTTCTCGCAGCACTCCACATGCAGTTGAGCTTGGTCTTCATGAACGTTGTTTGCTCCATTCTCGCACCACCGCATCGCACGGCACGTCGGCATCTCGCCAATGAGCTGGAGCCAAACTAAATATGCAGTGACCTATACTACATGTAAACAAAATAGAACCATGCATATATTCTAATTAATGACAAGATTAAACTCTATCAAACTTTTCATCAATGTTAGCTATGGTTTAATTAATGAACCACGATCTTGTGCTAAGTACTACTCCTCCATAACAACCAATTCGATCATTCACACCAGAGACTAAATTGATCAACAATGGGGAGCGTACGTACGTGGAGGGTGGGGAAATCCCCAGGAGAAAGCGGCTGAGGCACTTCATAGGCAGGAGCAGCGCGGATGCCATGGCCTCCAGGACGCGTTCCTCCGATCCTTTCGTTATCGTACTTCCGGCGTATCCTCTTCTTTCTTCCCCGGCGGCGTTGCGACGGGGAGCCGCGGCGGCGGCGATCTGTCGTTTCTCACGCCGACGACTGGAGGAAACCTGTGTGAAAATCCCCCCTGGTGTTTGCAACTCTGGGAGCCGTTGGATCACATACGCATGGCGTGGATTGGTCTTTGCGTTTTACAGAAATCACCGTTTCTCCTCTGTTGTGGCCCATGTTTAGAAGTACGTGGGCCGTTCGTGGGCCAGAACCACGTCCAAGAAGATTTTATTGAGGCCTGGAATAAGTTCATCTAAGGTCCCTTAACTTGTCAACGAATCCGATTTTTGTCCTTCAACCACAAAACCAGATATAACGGTTCCCTCAACTATCAAAACCGGTGCAATATAAGTCCCATAGCGGTTTAGATAGCAGTTTTAGCTTACGTGGCGCCTACGTGGTTAAATTAACCTGGTCTTCATCTGACGTGGCATTGATGTGGCATTGACGTAGCAATTTAATTTAGAAATTAAGAAAAAAAGTGGCCCCACTTGTCAGTTACACTAAAAACATTAATTAAAAAATAGTGGGGCCTGCGTAGGCTCCACGTATCATTCTCAGCCTCCTTCCTCCTCTTCATCTCTCTCCCCTCTCCTCTCTCTCTCTCAAGGCGCCGGGGAGGTCCGGCGGCGGCGGCGGCCGGCGACGCGGCGGCGACGACGGGAGCGCTGGCCGGGGTGGGGGGAAACTCGGCAGGTCGCGGGCGGAGCAGAGGGGTGGCCGGAGCGGCAGGTCGCGAGCGGCGGAGGTGGCCGGAGGAGGAGGTCGCCGGCGAGACGGGGAGCTCGCGGATCCGGAGCTGACGCCCGCCGCCGCCGCCGCCGCAGCAGTAGCAGCGCTCGCCCGGGAAGGCGCCTCGTCGCGCACCAGGCCAACGGCGCCGCTAGTCTGTCAATGGCGACGAGATGAGATGAGAGGAGAGCGTGTATCAAACCATGCGACGACACTGTGTTGGGTAGGTGGTGTCCTCTTCTAGCCATGGATCTGCTCATGTTTTTTATTTCTTTTTCTGAAAATTCTTACTGCAAATACTAGCTTGTTTGGAATGTCTGAATTTCTACTGATCTATACGGTCGAGCACCTCTTCTTCGCCCAACTCTACGACGACCGCAAGCAGCGGGAGGCATGCATGTCGATGTCCAGGGCGGAGCACGCGCACGAGTCGTACGTGGACTACCTCAAGCCCATCATCGCCGACGTGCCCAGCCTGAGGGAGTTGCTGGAGCGGATACCGGCGCCAGAGGTGGAGCGCCTCCGGACGGGGTGCGGCTCCGGAAAGAAGAGAGGAGCGAGAAGAAGATAGGAGCGAGGATGAGGAAGAAGAGAGAAAAGAAGGGAGGTAAGGCTGACATGTGGGGCCCACGTGGGCCCCACTATTTTTAATTATTTTTATGTGTAGCTGACATGTGGGGCCACGTTTTTTATTATTTTTCTGGGATTGAATTGCACGTAAGCGCCACGTCAAATGCCACGTGGGATGATGACCAAGTCAAACCAGCCACGTTGGCGCCACGTCAGCTAAAACCGCCTTCCAAACTGCTGAGGGATCTTGTTCGCACCGGTTTTGATAGTTTAGAGACCGATTATATCTGGTTTTTTCGTTGAAGGACGCAAATCGGACTCAGTGTAAAGTTAAGGGACCTTAAATGAACTTATTCATTGAGGCCTCGAGGGAGGAAGACGCGGCCTGTCGGCAAAAGTCTCATTCCCCATGCATATGCCGAGCTAGCTTTGGTTTATCATATAGTTTACGATTAGGTAGTTTAGCTGTCATGTTTGTGGATTTGCAGTGAACATTTTGCAGTGACAGGTCTACCTTAGAGCAAGTTTAGTAGTATAGCTCATTACTAGCTTCAATTTATCTATAGCCAAATCTAATAGTCAATTCATACAATAGTTGATTACTATACTATTAATATATGGTCCCACCTGTCATACACACACTGTATTTTAGAGTCCGTGTTACAGCTGACTACAAATCTGTAGCCTGCTTATCTTATCTCTCATCTTTTATCTCATTAAAATATGTTTATAGCTGACTAATAGCCTGCTATTGTACCTGCTCTTATATCTGTCAATCCATAACTCTAAGAGCAGGTACAATAGCAGGCTATAAGCCAGCTGCAAACATATTTTAAGGAGATAAATAAAGAGAGAGAAGAGCAGCGTGCTACAGATTTGTAGCCACCTGTAGCATGGACTCCAAGACACAGTGTGTGTATGATAGGTGGGACCAGGTATTAATAGTGTAGAATGTAACTATTGTATGAATGTGCTATTAGATTGGCTATAGATGAATTGGAGCCAGTAGTTGGCTATACTATTGAACTTGTTCTAAGAGGAGTAAGAGGAGCAGCCAAACTGTGATTAATTATTAAATGAATACAGGATACTGATTGCCTTGCCCCATCCTTTGTCAATCCTGTATTGTACTCATATCCTTCTTAATTGTTGCCTACTACCGTGGCTTTTCTGTGTTAAAGAAGCTGTACCATTTTCTATTGGCTACTGCCTTGTAGGCTGTGTGGTATAAAGAAGTCGATGGAGTTCATTGCCTAAGCTTCAGTTGAGTGACCACACCACGGTTTACCAAATCATTTAGGGTAGGGTTACTGCCACCGCACGGTTTAACGGTTACCGCGGTAATCACGCGGTTACCGTGAGGTAAAAACCTAAGAAATTTACCGTACGTGATAACCATAATAACCACACGATTTTGTAAATCCTAGCGAGAAACCATCTCGTCATATTTCTGAAGAGACAACTCCAAGCAGATAATCGCCTTCTCCTCTCCAGTCTTCAGACAAACTCGTGATGTCGATAACTTTTTGGGATTGCTATATGTCATTCGAATAAAATTTGGGGATGAAATCTTACAGATTTTGGACCATTGGATCCATGCCAAGATTTGTGCATCGGCTTCTCTCCTCCAACTCCGGCGGGCTCCTCTTCTTCTCCGGCGCCGGTGACACCCCAACTCCAGGGAGCATACGGGTTAGGGTTTGGGGTTGGGATGAGGGTAGGAGGGGGGTTTGGGGAGAGGGAAGAGGGGGTTTCCTCGGGGTTTAGAGGGATGGCCGTGGGTAGCGGAGGACCGGCGGTGGGCGGTGGACTTCATCGGGCGGTGAGGTGGCGGCGGCGCCGCCGAAGCTGCGAGGATGGAGGAGGGCGGTGGGACGGCGTCGACGGCGGGGGGCAGAGCAAGAGTGTGGTTAGGAGGCGACGGGCGGTGGTTGCGGATCCGGCGGCGGGGAGCCGCCGGAGACGGGGAAGATGGCGGGGCGGGGGGAAGGGGGAGGGGGCTTGCCGGGAAGGGGGGGGCTCGCCGGCGCAGTTGACTCTTTCCGGCCAGCCGGCGAGGCGGGCGGTGGCGGCGGGGAATCGTGCGAGGACGGGAGGAGGAGTGGTGGCGGCGATCTGAACGGGGGATGAGGAGAGGAGTTAGGGTTAGGGGGGTTTGCACGAATCTTAAAGCATATTCAATGGTCTAAAATTTGAATGATAGGATGTGAGATTTTCTGTCACAAGATATATAGACAGCCCCATAACTTTTGAGCCAGTGTTGTTTAGGGCTGATAAATCGCCTTCTCGTGCCCTTCAATATCTGCCAGGAGTATTTAATTGCACATATGATGCGTCTTTGGTTCATTGATCTCTCTTTCGTGATTATGCAGGATTAAGCTTTCTATCGATAGTGGATTGGTCAGAATCTGTCAACATCAGCCTGATCACATTCAGGTTGTTGAGGGTGATGCTACCATGGAAAGGGTGGACGATGACGAAGACGGAATGGCTGCTCGAGAGTCAATCTTTTTTACAGTAATTGATACCCCTCTCGTTTTCATCTATGGAGTGTTTCTTGGGTTCTCACACTTGCTACCTTAGCGTGCTTGGAAAGATTATTGCTTCCTGTCACACCTGAGCCTTATTATCTACAGTTAGCTTAGATCATATACTGCCACCTTATTATCTTTTTTTTTTGGGTAGAAGATAAATATTTAAATGTGAAAACTGTATTGTTTTGATCATTGCTGATGGAAGCATCCTTTTTTTTGTAGGGATGGAATCAAAATTCAGTTCCAGGCGGCGTCTTGAACATCTTCATCTGCGTTGCTTTGATCTTAATATCTCTTGTCCTAGTCGCGATGGCATTAAAGGAGCTTGAAAATGATAGTACTCCTACATGTTTCGAACAGTTGTCGTTTGGCTGAGTCTAGTGTCACGACCTGAATATTATTAAGTCCAAGGTTATAAAAGAATTGTGAATTAATTAATTATGATTGCTACCTCACTGGACATTGACTCTATGTTGGAGTTCTGTAGCCAGTGGCGAAGGAATAGGAATAGGAGTATCACACATTTAACTATTCAATTACATATGCAGTAAAAGAACATGCTTCGCTGAAAATTTTTTGGATGGAAAATTTTCGGACCTGTGTCCCAATGCACCAGGGAAACACAACGTGACTTCGCCCCCTGATTCTGACATCGATCATCGGTGGATCTAAGGTGCATTGTTTTTCAGTTTTTCACAAGCGATTCTGTCGAAATGAATTACTAGCAGTAGGTCAAACCAAGCATGTTAGTTTTACTATATCTTAAATGAAACTTGGTTGGCCTAATTTTTTCGCCGACATAAAAAAGAAAAGTATATACATGTGGAGACAAAAAAAAAGAGAGAGAGAGAGGCTCGTGTATGAATTTTTAAGTAGTAAATGTAATCCTGGACTATCATATCTGTAATGTTCTATTATCCTTTAGTGAGGATTACCCTGCAGTTTAAGAGATACTAACATGTCACCTGGACAGGCTGTAGTAATAGTAAATTTCTATCTATAAACCTAAATATGCAATACTTCCTTTGTTTCAGAATAAGTTCATTTTTAGCTACTCTCTTTTATCTCAAAATAAGTTTATTTTAATGATTATACTAGAATTTATGAAGGTAAAAAATAAATACATTAAAAATATATAAGAAGTGAAATAATTGTACGAAGATATGATAAAGTGAGAGTATCTGGTATATTTAAGATATGTGAAAAATAAACATATTCTGAAACGGCGAGGGTACTAAATTATTTCTGGACCCGTGGACCATACAAAGCATTGATCTGTAGACTGTACCCTAGACCTGTGCAATTCAGTTTCCTCGAGCAATTTCAGAGCTGCTCCTCTTGGAATTCATCAATTCAACACCGGCCAAATTCATCCATTCGTTCCAACGCACACTTTGCCCTGAAAAAAAAAAAAAACTTCCAGCGTCGTTTGGTAGGCGCACCTGACGCCTGAAGATTTATGATGGCCCGGCCCGATAAGCGAGGCCGCGCGCATGTGGCCGCTGTACTCGTTGCCGCGCAGGCGCATGTGCGGCCGTAGTACCTCGCCGCGCGCCTGCGCCGGGCCGTGCCGCTGCCGGTGGCGCCGGTGCTCGCGCGCACGCGAATCGTGCGGCTCCTACGCCGCTGTGCGCCACCGTCAGTTCAGATCCGGTCTCGAAGTTGTTAAACAAGGCATTAGCGTGATACTAGCATGCATATCCCCTTGACCTCTCGAAGCAAATCTATGCAGAAAGTGTTTCCTTTTACTATTATACATGGAGATCAGAAAACAACGTCTACTTGGAAAGGACTACTACTCTTCTTGATCATAGATCGTATCAGAATCGGTATCTGATCTCGTGTATTTTCATTTTCCTCAAAAGAGAATGATTTTTCTTTCTTCTAATACATCGCTTGCTGGATTAAATGATATCTATGTCCCTGAGTAGTCATCGTGAGGTAATATACCCTGTATTGATGATTTGATTTGTGATACCAGGATTTTTCTACCGTTGAGCTGCCGGGAGGAATCATAAATGAGGTAATATACCCTGTAAGTTGTAAAAACCCATACTACAATGTTAAATTTTAGTACTCCCACCATTTCAAAATAATATATGACATATTTTGTTTTGTTAGGGTAAAATTTTGATCAATAATTACTCTATTATAATGTAGATTTTGTGAAATAAATTGATGCTATTAGATTCATCTTCAAAAGTATGATTATAATTTTGTGAAGCAATGGTTAGCCAAATCTAAACTTAACAAAATAAATACACCCTATATTTTGCAATGGAGGGACTGCATTGTTTTTCTTATTGGCATCAAAATAAAATGGTAGGATTTCAAACCGAAATCCTAATGCCAAATGCTGTAACTAATATTCTAGCAGTCCACACTAAACCATTAGGTTTTCATTTATATTCGGATCAAACAACGCGAATGCATCCTAAGTGCCAAATACCCATATTCTGCATGACACAAAATTTCAGTCTCAGGGTGTGTTTAGTTCACGCTAAAATTGAAAGTTTGATTGAAATTGGAACGATGTGACAGAAAAGTTAAAAGTTTGTGTGTGTCGTAAAGTTTTGATGTGATGAAAAAGTAAAAGTTTGAAGAAAAAGTTGTAACTAAACCCGGCAATACGCAGATGATACTATCATCTTTTTGGAGCATGACTCGCAACAGGCAAAGAATTTGAAACTGATTTTATCGGTATTTGAAAAGTTATCTGGCCTAAAAATAAATTTTCACAAGAGTGAATTATTTTGCTTTGGTCAGGCAAAGGAATGTTATGAACAATATTATGATATTTTTGGTTGTAAGTTAAGTACCTTTCCTTTTAAATACCTTGGAATTCCGATGCATTTTAGGAAGCTTTCTAATAAAGATTGAAAACTTATTGAAGAGAGAATTGAGAAAAAAGCTTAGTAGTTGGAAAGGCAAGCATTTATCTGTTGGTGGTAGACTGGTGTTGATTAATTCTGTTCTTTCAAGTTTAGCCATGTTTATGATATCTTTTTTTATGTGCCGAAAGGGGTTCTTCGTAAAATTGATTATTATAGATCGCGGTTTTTTTTGGCAAGGGGATGACCATAAGAAAAAATACAGGCTCACTAGGTGGGATGTCATTTGTCAACCCAAGGACCAATGGGGTCTTGGGATTCATAATTTGGAGATACAAAATAAATGTCTTTTAAGTAAATGGTTGTTTAAGTTAATTAATGAGGAAGGAGTTTGGCATGATTTATTGAAGAGGAAATATCTTTATAATAAATCTATAACCCAAGTTGACAGGAAACAAGGTGATTCCTATTTTTGGTCTGGTCTTATGAATGTCAAAAGTACTTTCTTAAATATGGGTTCTTGGATTGTCAATAATGGAGTGAAAGTGCATCTAGGCCCCTAATGATTTTGGTGATTAATTACAATGCAATTAGAGAGGACTAACATTTTTATTTAAGCAAATGTGAAGGTTGTTATGTCCTCAATGAGTTAGCGTAATGCATATCCCGCCGAATACGTTGATGTGTGTGATGCGGCAAATGAGCAAATGGTATATTGTACCTTTTTCTTTCGTTTGAGTCAATAAGAATGCCGCACTATTAAGAGGGATGATGCATTGACATATGAGGAGTGATCAAAGTGCTCAAAATCAATTTTTTTTTAAAAAAAGTGTTTCTCCTCAGTTTGGTGTGTTCTGGAAATTTTTGGAGTTTTCCGAAAGCCATTTTCGGACTTTCCGAAAATGCACGGAACCAATTTTCGCTTCTGGGAATTTTCGGATATATCCGAAAAACATTTTCGGACTTTCCGAAAATGACTGTGAAGGCAAATGTGGTTCTGTTTATTTTCGGACTTTTCCGAAATTGATTTTTGGAGTTTCCGAAAAACTTCAGCAAAGTCAAAAATCGCTTCTGTATATTTTTGGACTTGTCCGAAAGCAATTTTCGGACTTTTCCGAAAACATCCAGAACTATGTTTTGTAGTACTGGAAATTTTCGGACTTGTCCGAAAAGTTTTCGGGATGTCCAAAAAATCTTTCGTTGACTTTGCTATTGGTGCTGAGCTGGAATTTTCGGACATGTCCGAAAATCTTTCGGAATATCCGAAAATCTCAATTATTGTGCATAATGGGCAAAATCTAGGTTGTGGCTATAAATAGCCCCCTCCCCTCACTTGTGAGGGCTGCTATTTCCATTCCAATCATTTGTGCCCTTAGTTTGCTCTCTCTCTAGCACTTTTGAGTCTTACTTTCTTGTTTCCCCTCTCACCCGTGTTCGATTTGGTTTTGGTGTGTGTGTGAGAGTTGTGGATTCGAGTTTGTGTGAGTGCTTGTTGTTGACTTCGTGAAGATTTGTGAGCACTTGCATCATCTCCGGGAGTTCTTTGCTTCATTTGTTACTCTTGGAGGTTGAGGACTCCTAGGCGGCTAGGTGTCGCTCCTGAGCCACCGATCTACTTGTGGTTGGCCGAGAGAAGTTTGTGAAGGTCGGATCTCACCTCCGAAAGGGAAGAGATACTCTTAGTGGAAGGAGGAGTGCTTAGTGCAACCTCTTGAGGAAAGGGTTAGCTAAGACCCGGCTCTTAGTGAGCTCCTCAACGGAGAGTAGAATCCCCTCAAGGATTCGAACTTCGGGAACAACTTCGTGAGCTTCATCTTTGGTGACTTTACTTCCTCCCTCTCCACTAGCTTTGCTTGTTTAAGCCGCTATAGGTCTAGTTGCTGTTTGTGCTAGCATATTCTTGTTATAGGCAACTAGATCTAGGTTTTACTTTGCTATTTGTGCTGACTCCGAAAATTTTCTTCAGATATATCCGAAAATTTCGGAAATATCCAAAAATTACTGCTTCCGCTTTTAATTGAATTTTTGAATTAGCCTATTCACCCCCCCTCTAGGCCTAATTGACACTTTCAATTGGTATCAGAGCCTAATCTCCTAATTAGGTTTAACCGCTTGGAGAGATCATGTCGGGCCAAGCGGGGGATGGGAATGATGGTGATAAGGGAGCTAAGATCCCTTATGACTATCCCCCTACATCTACATCTTATGTAAGTACCTATAGCGGCAAAGCTCCGTACTTCAATGGTACGGACTATGCCGCTTGGAAGCATAAGATGAAGATGCATTTGAAGTCTATTAACCCATCTATTTGGAGAATAGTCAAAAAAGGCTATGTTTTGCAGAATCCTGAGGATCCCACCAAGGAGGACGACGAGAACGAGCACAAGAATGCTCAAGCCGCTAATGCAATACTTAGCGCCTTGAGTGGAAGTGAGTTCAACCGTGTGGATGGCATTGAGAGTGCCAAAGTGATTTGGGACACGCTTCGGAACTTGCATGAAGGCACGGATAGTGTTCGTGAGTCCAAGGTGGAGATCCTCAAGGGGCAATTTGAGAGATTTGTGATGTTGGATGGTGAGAGCCCAAGCGACATGTACGACCGGTTGAGCAAGATTGTCAATGAGATCAAGGGACTTGACTCCAAGGACATGACTGATGAGGTTATGATCAAGAAGATGGTTCGAGCAATCACTCCAAGGAACTCTATCTTGGTGACCATCATTCGTGAGCGTCCGGACTACAAGACTCTCACACCTCATGATTTGCTCGGACGCATCCTTGCCCATGACA